GGAACAAAATGAACAAGCTGCTTCCATCCAAAGTCCTGGCGATGAGAGCAAGACTTTATATGGACCCGGTAATGTAGAAAGGTTGAAGAAAGTCTTCATGGTTCAAAATGCCTCTTTGAAGGACTTCTTGTTGGTACTCAAACCCGTGAAGTTATTCAAGACAACTTCGTCAAAGTGGTATCTCTTAGTGCCAGTGGGAGAGCTGAAGAACATGCTCAGGTCTGGTTCTTACCCTTCTTTCAGAAAGCAGAAATGGACTGTCTGGGAGTATATTCACTAGAGGGATTTTTTCCTACCATCATGAATGAAGATAACATTCCTAAGGAGGAATTCTTGTGCCAGGAAAGTCTTCACTCCATTGATCTATTTTTTCCCAAGGTCAGGAGTTTACCACGTAGATATAACGAGCCATCCAGCCTCACAGTCCTTACTTGACAAAAATTGCACATTTGTCAGGATATGAGACTCCCCATAACAATAAAGAGACTCAGTGTGCCTACCCGCAGAGCATCTCTCCAGTGTCCCAGGAGAAAGGCATCTAGCAAATGAACAATTAGAGGAAGTCACATTGTTATAGAAGAAGTCTGGTCTTTGCAAGCAGTAGAATCTCATATAGATATGCCGTGTGATATGAATCAAAGGAGAGTCTGGCCTCACTGAAAAGTAATGGCAGCCAGAACAGAAGAACAAAAAGACAGGAGGGAAAAGACAAAATAAGCTTCAAGTGGAGCATAGGGTAGAAAAGAAGTAGAGAAATGAAGATTTTCATATATGGCTGTAGGATTTATCACACAGTCTGGAGCAACCTGGTGAAGCTCTTTTCTGAGCCAAGAAACTTAAGAGAAACCAAGAAGCAGGCAATGCGGTGTCTTTAAGATGCTCAGCACGAATGAAGGAATAAATACAGAAAGCATTTTTTCAAGATGAAGAGACCAAGGCTCATACACCGTCCCTCCCAAATGGGCACAGGGACAAGCACTCAAAAGAGAAGCGGTATTTTGTTGCCAACAGAAGGCACTGACCACCTTTTCTTGCAACTTTCCACCACCTTCCACGTATCTGTCTTTACTGATAATAGTGTTGTCAGTAATACCTAGGCACAGACTCCTGCCTTATCCATTTGCAATGTGGTTATCTGCCAGCCTCCCTCCAAGTTTCTCAATAGGAAGTGAAAGTCAAGTTGATTCCCTGGCACCGCGCTGGGGCACAGATGCAGCAGTTGCTTCCCTTTTCCCACCAGGGCTTTCATTTGGGTTATAGAAAGATAAGCTTTAGAAAACTGCTGGGTCACGAAAGAGACCAAGAAATAGAAAAGTCAGAAGAGGAAGACCAAATGTTCATCAATATTACAGTATCGAAAGGATAAAATAGTGCCCAAAGACCTCAACTACACCTTGTTTGAACAAGAGAAAGGCAAGACACATCCATCACTAAAATCCTGTGAGCTTCATGATGCATCAGCAAATGATTACAGTGGTGAGACATGATGGGAGAGAACTTCCCCCAAAGCAAAGAAGGATTTTGTACACAAAATATGGGAAACAATGGAGATGAAGGGACATGATGAAAATGTGGGAGGAAAATGGCACAGTGGGGAACGAAAATGTGAATGTGATACAAAGGGGAAAGAGAGATCAGATAATGGGAAAAAAAGAAAATAGGATAAATTATTTAAATTAGAAAAGAGGATAAACAAAAGAATGAGAGAGAAAAGAATTAAGAAACAAAAGTTTTAAAAGCAGTAACAAAATAGCAAGCTGGTATTTTTTGAGGGAAGGAATACATATGACACACATTTTATTCTACCATCTCAAAAGGTGCATGGAGGTCATGCTCCATAATTCTCCATTTGTGACAAGTTCATAATTTCTCAGGATTATCCGTGGAAGAAAAAAAAGAACAGAAAGCTTTCAATATGCACACTACCATCTGTTTAAGGGCTGTATCCACAGCAACTAGAAACCAAGACAAATATCAGTCACCCCGTAATCACACTCCCCTGAGAAACTAGCAACGTAAGGTCATTTTTTCAGTTTCTGACAACATGTTCAGACACAGTACCACTGAACATTGAAGGGCTAAAATGAGGTACATCAACTAATGAAGTTGGTGGTTTATGTTCAAATTCTACCACATACTGAATCTACTCCTCGAAGTTCTGGGTGTCTGACAACCCAGCACTCACACGCACAGCTCTGTGCTTTAGGCTACTCCAGACCAGAACATTTCAGCTAGAGAAAGACTGGGAAAGGTAAAGCTCAAAGAGTTGCCAGCAAAGAAATTCTGGGGTAGTTGGGTTTTGTTTGTTTGTTTGTTTGGGTTTTTTTAATTGTAGAAAGCATCCAAAGTGAATTCTGCTTTGGATAAAAGAGCTCAGTGAACAGCAGAAAAAAAAAAAAAAAGATAAAACTATTTACATGCCAGTATCTTGGAGGTACAGTAAAAAAAACTTATGAGAAATGTTTTTTCCCCAGTTTCTTTCCCTGATTTTTTAAAAAAAATTTTTTTAAACAACTACTTTTTTTGTATTGGCTTGTGTAGCTTGTCAGGCTCACATTCTTCAGAATTTCTTGCAAAGACTCGAAGAATAAGCTTACTACAAAAAGCATCTATTCAAGAAAGGGGCCTCCTTATGGCCAGAACAGTTTACACATTGGGCGGACAATGGAGCACCATTAAAACCAGCTGTCATGTTCTTGTGTTCTCCGTCCATAATGCTACCAATAAACTGCATTGTTTCTTTTCTCAGAGATGAACTGAAGAGTAAAGGAGGAGGAGGAATGAGCAGAGCACCTTCTCAAGGGGCAGCTAAACAAAAGCGTTGCGCTACAGCATACAGAGGAAAGTTAATATTCACTTCCCTCGCCAAACAAAACGGAAAGCAAGAGAGAAAATTTATCTCACCTATGGCACATTACCTACAGACAGCATATTGAGACTCCAGAAATCTGCACTACATTCTCCTAGAATATAATTCAAAGCCATATTTGATGACTGAGATATACTTTGCAGCTTTTATTATTTTCAGTTCCACAAAAAAAAATCTCCCTAAGAAACTGACCTGCTTTCTTTATCAGCTTCACTCCCACAGGTAAAATTGTCATCTAAATTCCATCTGTAACGTGATCTGTTCAACTCCACTGTCTTCAAATTATACCTTTCCAAGCCTCTAAAGTCAAAAGAATTGCCCACGTACAACAATCCAGAAAATGGTTTTCAATTTTTAAAATATAATTTTGAGATTGAAATTAGCCTGCTTTTCATTTTTACCACTATGTCTCCACATTTGTGAATGATTTTGTTTTGTGATTTAGTTGATGGCCAGTAAATTCTGTAAGTGAGTCATTAAAAGAAATGGCTGATCAAAAGCTTTCATGACACATCTTTTCCGAAGAGCTTCTCTGAAACATTCATACATTGATCCCACCGCCTTCTGATCATCAGTTTCACAGATTAGCAATATCAGTTAACTAAATGCTGTGCTCAAGTTAAAGGCCAAATGTGAAAGTAACTTGAAAGTGTTTCGGCAACTTGTAAAGGGAAGTATCCTACTGATGTTCAAACAATGTTCATTTATTTTACTTAAACCCCTCCATCTTTTTAAAGAACTCTATTTGCAGTCAACCATGAAAAGCCATTTTTCCACTTTCATTGTTCATAGCCTAAGGAAAGGACCGGATGAGAAAAAAATGTTACCAACTTTTCTTTTATGATTTTCTTATTTACCACTTTTTGCAATTAAAGATATATTAAAAGGATTGTTTTCTGTAACTGGAAATGGCTTCTTCCTCCTATCTGAAGAAACTTGGCTGTGCTCTTCCCAGCAGCTTGTAGCCCAACATACACTTTCAATTAATTTTCTATTACAACGGTAACATTCAAGAATTGAGTAATTTCTAGTTCAGTTCTTATGTTAAAACTGATTAACCCTCTAATGGGAATAGAGAAAAGGAGATTAGGATCTTCCCACCTGAGGAACAATTTCATCAGATTGGAACATTAAGAAATCAAAGACAACAGAATTATGTTATCAGGGCCTGGAAACAAAGATTCATACTCCAGTTGTTGGCTAAAGCTTTATGCCATCACACCTCTAATTCTGGCAAGATATTAACGGTAACGTAGCTATACCTACTTGCGCTGCATTACCTCCAACACGATGAGAACTGGTCTATCAGTACGGAGCTGTGTTTCAGGTAGAGGAAACTCAGTAGAGACCTCAAATTGCTAGGCTGTAATTAAATTATGAGCAATATATGTTCACACAGAGCAATGCAAGGCCTATGTTTGCTAGGTTTGACAGAGTAGCAACACATACACCTAAGACACAGGAAAAAGTGAATTGAGGCACCATCTGCCTTGTTTTACTGCCCTGCAACGCAAAGTATGTGAATGTCTGCATTTGCTGGTTTGACTAAAACAGAGAAAACAAACAGGTTCTGCTATTCTAATCAATAAGGAAATAAAACAAGAGCATTAAACGCGGCAAACAGAAAGTCCCTGTGGTTGGCCTCTGTAAGAAAGTTAGAGAATTTAATTTCTGCACTTTCTCAAAAGAAACAAGTCTTGCTCAAAGTAGATCTGCAAACAAAGGAGTTACGCAATTTTCAACCTCTCTGAAAAGGATGCTAACAATACAAATACTCAGAAGAGTCAGGAGCATATTGACTTCCTAACTTTCCACAGTGGCTCTTACTAAAGACCACCGAGAAGCAACTACTTTACCTTTCAGCCTCATTTTTGGCAAAAGAATGCCAGAAGTACTGATACCCTTACAGGACTGTCTGACATTCTGCTTACATCTCGTGAAGCAGTTTTAACATATAAAGCTATATAAAACATTTAAATGGCTATTAGCAGTACAACAATGTATGAAAGAGTGAGGAAGGAGAATAAAGAAATACATTATTTTTAAGAAACAGTAACCACAAAAGATACATGAACCAAAAATGTGGTTTTCCCATAACTTAACATAATCCTTCTGGAACATATATCAATACCTGCTGCTGCCTTTGCCGCCTCATTTGGGCAACCTGAGACATCATGATCTGACGATCCAGTAGCTCCATTCTCTGCTGCCTCTGGATGTCAACTGTTGCTCCCATTCCCACTCGAACTTCATTCGTTGGTTCCGCGGATGAGAAGATTGGTTCAAGAGTACAAGAAAATATTTTTGCTACCCAGCTGGGTACACAAAGAATTCGATGAACTTTTAATATACTGCTATTGTAGCAAATCCCAGAAACCTAAAACGAAAAATGAAATGTTAAAAAACCCACCCCAAACCAAAAAAATTAAATACACCAAATGTACGTTGTATTTAGCTGCAGATAGCAGTTGGTCCTTCTGGTTTTTAAAGCACTTTTTATTGTATTTACCCAGAGTTCTCAGTCAAGAATCAGAGAAAGAATAGGGGATTTCTTTACCTCCAACTTCCCCACAACTACAGACTATTACTTTTTAAAATCTATGTACCGCATTGCCTGTGACTCAGAAAGCTGCTTGAGGTTTTTTGTTTTGTTTCAGAATTTGAGCTCAAACCAAGCAACCCTTTCTCAAACGGGACAAAATTCAAACAAAATTTTCATTTCTAATAAAGGAACTGCTCAGGGTATGCTGCATGCTGAATTGAGAAGATTAAAGCTGCCCTCAAGGACGCTGAAGCATTGTAAACACTCCTTAAAAAACAACCCCCTTAAGGTTTCGCCCTCCTCCCCCAAGCCTCTCCTTCTAGTAAAAACAAAAGCAAACCAGTTGATTTGAAGTTAAAACTAAGAGTATGCCCATACTTATTCTAAAGGGATCCTTCTAGAAGAAAAAAAGCAAACATTCAAAATCCAGTTCACTAAAACCTGTGAAACTGAAAAAGCCAGTTTTTGTGATGCCCTTCTCCCACCTGTAAGAAAAATACCCATTCCCTGTGTTCACGCTCATGCTTGCCTTGGAGCTTGCTTTTATTTCAGATTCCGAAGGAGCAACAGAAATCCATGTGCCTCATAAATGATCTACAGTCATAACCCACCCATCATTTTAAATCTCATTATGAAGCCCTAGCATTTAAGCTCAAAGTGGTCCAGCAGGAAGGCCAAAGTTCTTGCCCAAACTCCGAATCTGCATCCCGCTTGATGCCACATTTCAGTATTTGTGACTATTTATTGTCTGTTATGCCACAAGAATTATGTTATGACAACAGAGCACAATGAACAGGAAGAGATATGAACCCTCAAAAATCTGTAAACCTACCCAAACAACGTGATTATGCTAGAAGCAATGTAGAAACTTCGCATCTGGGCTATTTATTTGGGGATATTTATGTTATTTCACTGACATTTGCATAAACATACCAAATGTATTGCTTCATATACAAAGGGAGACAGTACAGGAAAATGCAACATCCTTTGGGAGGGGGATATTTTTCAGATTACTTACAAGGTTATTGTTAATTATCCACTGAGATAATGAGACTTTTAGCAAAAATACATTCTGCATTGGGAAACACTGATTTTCGTTTTATTCTATTTTCATTTTATGACTGCTCTCAGCCAAAGACAGGCTACCAATCTAAATTAAGAACAAACAATTTTAAACTACCCTTAAGCTCTTCAATCTTTTCATGCTATGAGGAAGGAGGTAAATGGGATGGGATAAGAGGAAGGCTGTAATCTCTGGCATCATATTGGAGGCTGCCTTTAACAAAAATTTTCTGTATTCAAAGAAAGGTCCTGACCGGACTCTAGGAATGACAGGGCGCTGGAACAGAAGCTTCTTCATGACCTCAGAAATTCCTTCCTCAGCTCTAGTGGAACTGTTCCAGATGACTGTAAGCCCGTGACCAAAACTTGCGCACATCAACTGGAAACTAAGGTTGAACTATAATCGCCAAACAGTAAGAGGAGGAAAACTTGTATCACTTCTGCAATTCATCTATTTTTGGTATGTAGTACTTGAGGTATCTACCTATCAAGAAGGTCCCTCAGTAGCTAACCACCTGGTCTCAAGAGAGTTATGCAGACAGGCTCCTCGCTCAAAAAACCTAGACTGTAGAGCTACCAGGAAGGTCACCTTTTGGGAGCAAGAATTACTGAACCAGGTTGCAAATATTAGGTATACACTTAATCTGATGATTTCTTAGATGCAAAATGCACAAGCAGCACCAGAACCTACGAATCATATTCCTTCCTCCCACCTCGTACCGTTGAGCTACAGAGCCAGGCCCCCTCTTTGGTCCCAGGGATTCTGCATTCCTGGTTGCACAGGTGTGGCCAAGCAAGGAAAGCACTCCCGCTCCAAATACTTTGTCCAACATCACACCAGCATTCCCTCACTTCTTCCAAATGTCCCTCCCAGCTACTGATCTCTGTTCACTATTATCACCTGCAGTCCTTTGTTAAGCTCTAATGTTTTCAAGGCACCCCAAATCTTGAACAGGTTCAAAAAGTCACAAGTACAAAACAAAGCAAGTGGCAATAGGAAAATCTACATCTCCCTGAATGTATGACAGATCTTGACACGTGCCTGAACACATTAACCGCAAAGAGAATCATTCTCTTATCAACTCAAGATAGAAAATACAGCAAAGAGATAGCAGCAGCACATCTTCAGTGTCAGTACTCCACAACTTGTTTGTCTCAGAAGAGAAAGTGTACTGCAAGCACCAACTAATAGCTGCATCAGTAAAAGTACTCTCATATTTTTCTAAGTAGAGACAGCTAGTCATAGAATCATAGAATCCTGTGTGTTGGAAATATCGAGTCCAACCGTAAACCTAACATGGCCAAGCTCACTACTAAACCATGTCCCTAAGCACTATGTCCACACACCTTTTAAGTACCTCCAGGGATGGGGACTCAACCACTTCCCTGGGCAGCCTGTTCCAGTGCTTGACAACCCTTTTGGTGAAGAAATTTTTCCCAATATCCAATCTAAACCTCCCCTGGTGCAACTTGAGGCCGTTTCCTCTTGTCCTAGCGCTTGTTACTTGGGAGAAGAGACTGATCCCCACCTGGCTACACCCTCCTTTCAGGTCATTGTAGAGAGCAAGTCATTCCAGAGCATTTAATCAGAAGAAGTTTTATAATGCTAAAAGTTTATGGACACTGCTAAAATGGAGAATGGCCCTTTGCACTGTGTGTGACTCATATGTGTGGCTCCTACCTGCCCTCCTAGTTTTACTGAGCTCATTGGAGCAGTGTGCCTGGTCTACAGCCAATGCCCCAGTTGCACTGGCTTGTCTTCTCTTTCCTTGCTGCTCCTCAACAGCAGATTAGTGTCCTGGCCCCTCCTTGTCCTGCCTTAGACAGAAACTCATTGCATGACCCAAACGCGTAGGCTTCTGTGCTCACAGAGCAGAAGTCAAGAAGTCTGATCATATAAAGTTCACAGTAAAACCTAAACCAAAAAGCACCTGGTGAAGGAACAAGACAAAACAGTGTGGGACTGGCAGAAGAGAAGTCTATCTTCTACATATAGTTGCCAAGAAACTTACTGTGGAGCAGTAATTGTTCAGAGCAATTGTGTGAGACTGCAATTCTTCATAAGTATAAACAGATGGAAGGACAGACTCAGTGGTGAAGAGCACCAAGTGTACGCTGGCAATCCACCTTGTTACCTCCACATCTGTTAGGATTTCAGTGCCGTGCCATGCCCCTTCCTCTCTCCTTTGATTCACTACTACAATTATAAAGCTATTAGAGGGAAGCATAAAAAACTTCAAACACTGTGCTCAGTTTTAAAGAATTTTCAAGAAGCTTCATCTAGTGAGGAAGAGATATCTATTTCCAGTATTTCCAATAAACCCAGAATGGAGACATTTGTAGTTAAAATAGGTCCCGTGATTCAGTCTGGTTTAGTGACATCCACTCATCTTAATGTCAAGTATTTCCAAAGAACTTCCTCTTTAGCTGGTTCATATGCAGAACTTGATATAGGTAATTTAAAAAAAGACAAGCTTTGACAAAGTATAAAGTAACTTTTTACACCATTTTTGGTACAGACACATAGTGAATTTCTAGTGTTTATGAAAGTAAACCAACTTTGTTTATTCAACAAAGGTAAGATGATCTCATTATATCCCAACTTCAGCACTGTACATCAGATGAAAGGGCTATTTCCCCCAAACAGAAGAGCCTCCTCAGTATTTTAGGCTCTAAAAAGTCACCACAGAAAGACGTTGCAGTTCAGTTCACATTGTTAGAATGCAGACTTTTTGGCTGGCAATGTCAAACGCATCTTAATTGTCTTCTGTTAGTCACACCATCATAACCTACAACCTCATCCACCATATCGCATGAGGCACAATGCTAAGCAGAGGAAATGGAGTGTGCTGCAAATTGCCTGGCATGCTGCAGAAAAAAGCGCGCTTACATTTTTTCAGTTTCTTAACATCATGGCTTACTACTGGTCCTTCACATGAAGTTTCCCAATCTCTTCCTGCCCCTGTATAAAGCCCAACTTCCCCTCCCCTTCCCTCATGTCCCTCCGAAGTTGTACACATTTTAGAAAAAGGAAGTAGCTGTAGTTTTTCTTTTACATTAGGTAAACCAAACATGGAAGTTCTCCAATATTTTACACGACAAAGACACATAAGCTCCACTACCGAGATATTTAAAATCACTATACTTGATGAACACTGAAACAGGAACTCAAATGGAAAAAACAGTAGGCAGATTGGAGTAGAAAATGATGTTGAAAATTACTTTGCCTAATGGTTAGAACTTTACAGTAAATATCTCAATTATTTTGTTCTGAACAATTTATTCATCACGCATTCAAGACTTTGCTGTTTTCAGGTATCAACAAATTGAAAGCAAAGAGCAGTATTCTTAAGGTGAAGTGATATTTTCATACCTATTTTATCTGCTTTATCCTTAATATCTTCTGAATTCTATACAACTAGAATCAAAACAAGGTGTTAAAGTTGTATTGAGATTCTGTATTTACCTTGATTACAGAAACACATTTATCAAACCAAGAGAGATCATGTGAAAATCATCCAACAAATAAAACCACTACACATGTATTTTCAACTTGTAGTTATAACCTGTAATGTAATTGTAACACAACACATTCTTTTGTTTGGGTTTTCTTTGTGGAAATAGTTCCTAAGAGTATAAACAGCCCTTTTCTTGACAGAAAAATAAGATTATGATAAGCTAATTCTCTTCAATTTCCTTCCCAGTTGACTGGGCTCATAAATTTCCCAGATACCTTGAATTTTTTTTCTTCGGAGTCCATCAATGCTATATCT